AATATATAATATATTAGTTCATAAATAGTTGGTAAATATATTATATATTTCAAATAATTCATTAAAAGGATCCACAGCTAAGGTATTTCTTCAAATTAACCTCCTGAGACCCCACCCATTCATCTGTGTACATTCATTTTATTTTTTCACACATCACTTTGAGACTTAATCCTTGTTTCGATGTGATGGGTCACAAACTTATTTTTAGAGAAATGCCTGAAGGTAAAATAGATGTCATTTTTTCCCCCTTACATCTATAGAAAGGCATTTTTACGTTATATCCAACATGCTTGTCCCCTGAAGCTTCTTGCTGGCCTTGAAGTCCATTTATTTACTCCTGTGTAAATACTCCTGTCATTTCTTTCATTCCCAGCATTCCTGGACAAGGATGTGAGACCCTTCTGAGCACATTCCTGTTCAGGACRCTGAGACCTTCAGGTCATATAGGAAGGGGATCAAAGGTTATCTGAACGGAGACACCCTGGAGACACAATCTGAAAGGTTAATTTCACTCATTGTGTTGAACTCATGTCAGTAACTTTGGTTTCATAAAAGTGCATATGTTGAACAACATKATTATTTTTTTTACTTTAAATGAGCATCTAATGATCTTCTAAAGCACTTTCCAGTGCATTATTCTGAATTATGCTGTTTACACTGTGACGACACGGATGAAAATATCTGTTCATCTGTACAATTTAGGTCATCTCAGCTGGTGAGTAATGAGAAGCTGGAGACAGATAAGAAGTCATTATGGGRCAGAACTGGTCAGAAGCAATAAATCAAAGCCTGTTTTCTTGGCCTTTAGCTTCGTCACAGTGTGGTTTCAAACTCATTCKGTCCAACTTTCTACTCAAAGAAGACTTAGTCACAAATTGTTTGATATCAGATTGATAATACATAACCAGAGTGTATGAATTTAAAATACTAAACTCGAAACACTGATGTTGAATCWTGTTTATTTTAAAGACATGGAGGTTTAAATCTCTTACCTGATGGAAAAGCGTTGCTTTGAAACTTCATCCAAACCATGACATACTGTAGCTGACTTCTGCCCAGTGAAACACAAAGATTTGTTTTCATTTTCTCTTGATTGCTTCATGGGAATTACACGAAATTCACCGTCATTAGAAGCACCGGGATGAGAACGGAAACCTGGCACGCAGCSGGGCAGGGCAGGTGAGAAATGCTGGGACCTGATTTTAAGCTGTGATCGACTCTTTCCGTGTTGACGTTACAGATTTAAYGGCAGATATGGAACTCTTCCCAAATTCTTTGCAGCGTTTTATACAATTGCACCACAGCAACTCATATACAAAGCCTTTACCGGCCCATTTCAAAATATTCTGCATGGATTTAAGAAACAAAACTGATTTTTCTTGAAGTGTTTCCAACTACCAGCCTGCACGTCGCTCACTGAAACCCCACTCAAACGTTGAAACCACAAACCTCACAACCAAAACAGAGAGATGAATACAAGATAATTCTATTGTTGCCATAATCAGCTCGCTTCCGATTTAATAAGCTTTAACTTTACAAATATAGAGCTAATATTCGGCGTGGTGTCACTTCTCAACATGTGATTATTTTAGATTAAAGCTCTATCACGACAAACAGCAGGCGATATRCATTCCTTCAAGGAATGCYGGGCCTTTAATTATTTCTGCAACTCTCAAACCAGAATGAGAAAAAAACCCACGCAGGATGTTTATGTACCTGAGACACGCTCACCTGTGCCCGAGCAGGACGGATGCCCCGAGGGCGAGGAGCAATTTTTCACAACAGTGTAATGGATATCATTAGAGGCAGACACAACAGCAGAGGGAACRCTGAAGGTCTCACGCTCGGTGGATAATGTTTATGTGTGAGCGAAAAAGAGCCTTGGGCCCAGTTAATGAAGAGACAAAATCAAAACCAAGAACCGTGCTGCTGTCAGACTTTATTCTGCATTTCTACGATTATTGTTTGTTTGTTTCCAGTTGATGAAAATTGCTAGAAGACGAAAACAAGGCAAAACGATGACATCATGCAGAGCAGGTAAAGGTATGAGAGAAYAAATGAGACAGGCGAGCTCTGCTGTTGCAATAAAAAAAAAAAAGTTGCCCAGGGAGAGAAAGCTGTGCCTTGACTTGAAGAACAATGGAAAACTCCTTCAGGAAATCTTTGGACTCTGAATCAATCAGAACTGAATGTTTCCCTGATAATACCACAGTGAGAAGAAATTCTGTTACTTCTGGTCTGTTCAGAGTCAATCCAACCCTCACATGTATGGAAAGTAAAATTTACTTTCTGAGCTCTTAGATGTCTAAGATTGATGTTCTTCGAAACAATTCATTTAAATATTTTGAAACGTTCCTCAAACTTCCCACTGCTCAAGGCCAGATGATAAAAGTTTCTAACAGGAAACAAAACAAATAGAGGAAATCAATCAATCAGTTGATATCTGACATTTGGTTTGAGTGAAAAGGCCGCAGCCGAAACGAATCCTGAGCAGCATTTTCTCTGGTGACGCCACAACGTGCAGCTTTGTATTTACTTTAGATTTCACATTTCAGCCCAGCTGCTACTGCGCTTCACATCATTTACATTTTAGCGAGGAGTTGTTTTTTTTAGTTTGCTGTCATCGAACATGTCCTCAGTTGTCCCTGTTTCTCATCTGTCCTCCACCAAAAACCACCAGGTCTTTGCCTCATGTGTGTGTCTGCATCTRCTGTCAGTCCTTTAATCAGTGTTAATCATAAATCACAGCTCACCTCCTGGAGATAAATTAGGAGGAGTCATTTTATTCTCAGTGTCTTTAATAAACCTTTCTAGTGTTTAAAAGTTAACTTTATTTAATGTGAAACCATCCATTGGTTGATAAACTGCTGTTTCAGAAGTTTGGCCCATCACTTTTAAAGTCAGCTATTTAAATATATACACCAGGAACTTTTAGGTTTAAGAAATAAAACTCTAAGCTGTGGTCCATGTTCTTTGTTTTTATAGACTGTTTATAGTAAAGATATCTAAAAAAAACCCAATCAGCTCTGTAAGAAATTGTGGAAACCTTTCCTTATATGTCTTTTTGTCAAGCTTCTTAAAAACCTAATTGTTTCTCTTAAAAAAGTTGAGACAAATCAAGTATTTTTTTCTCTTTTTTTGTGATTCAATTAAACAGAAAACACTAAACATGCAGACATTTGAGTCAAAGTGTTTATCTTGGTGCTTAGATCTTGCAAAGAGTTTTGCCCTTTCAGTTTAAAATCACAGTATGGTCAGGTTTAGGTATATATCTGAGCAGAGCAGGGATTTTACTCTGCAGCCTGAAACAAACCAACCAGGAGCAGCAGATAACAACAACCTTGTCCTGAGAACATCGTCTTCTTTTTATTTTCTGTTGTTGAATGTCCTCTCCACTGCGTGGCTGAGATATTTTGGGAGTCCTTGACGATCCTCTCTGGGACACATTGAAAATAAGATTAGTAAAGGCGGGAAAGACAGGAGGGATTCGAGGGAACCACAGATAAGATTTTTAACCACAAAGTGTCTTTCTAATAGGACTGGGAATCTTTTACTATCTCTCCGATTCGATTCAGATTTTTGGCGCCACGATTTGATTCAAAATCAATTTTTCATTCAAAACTGTTRATGTGAGTCCATTTGTCATGTTCCCAAAGTGCTTCATCTTCATTCTGCAAATGTTGCACACACTGTAGCTCGTGTCAAACAGACACATTCAATAAAAACCAAAATGAGCCCAACTCTTTGCATTCATTGAAGATGGGGCCTGTTTTGTAGTTTCCCTTTTGTTTTGGTGCTTTCTGCGCATGCATWSGTTCCAGAACTGGCTGYRTGGTGACATCAGGACAACCCATGTAGTTAGAAAATGGAGGCTGAAAGCCATTGGGTTTGC